AAGTAGGCATTGGCCAGTCTTTGAAACTGCTCAAACAGATTGAGAGGGAGGAAGGTGAAGGCGTTGTACTTGGAGGTCTTGATGGCATTGTTCTGTAAGGGCACACATGAAAAACAAAAAATGAAAAAACTCACAATATGCTCCAAAAAAAGTTTTGACTAAAACATATATTAGTATTTTCCTACTCACAGCATACTTAAACGACAGATTGAATTCCCTGTCATTAGCTCGCAAATGCCTCTCCTCTGAGGAAATAAAATATAAAAACACCACATGAATAAACAACTAGGGGAAAAAAACAGACTAGAAATTTTAAAAAACAAGAAAACAAACTGGAACGTTATTTTTATAATTCAGGCTTCAAACTGTGTGTTCAGTGTACGTAGTTACAGTATGTTACCTTCTACTTTCTTTTTCTTTACGTTAATTCTACACGCAGACAGCGGGGAGCCCATGTTTCTCTGATCACATCATCACACTGGGAAAGAGAAACCAAAAAAAAAAAAAACATTAAATATGAAGAAAACTACAAAACTTTACACATAAATAATTTTAAAATCTTCTGCATTAAAGAGCTGTATAATCATAAGAACTTGTCAAACTGTATCCAATCTATTGTGTAATTATCTTTCATTTTTTTGAATTGTCTTATGTAGGGTCACAGGGATGCTAGATATTACAAATCATTTTTATTAAATTGAAGTATTTGTCATTAATGGTTGGCATATAGTGTGTTTTATATGATTAAAAAAAAACTCGTTTAAGTGAAAATAAAAATCCCCTGAAAATACCATGTGGCCATATTTACACGTTTGACCTATAACGGTCTATTCTATAGAGTTTTCTATAGGTTCATTAGTCTTACAGAAGAATTAGGGATGTTGTAGCCAGTTTATGTTACAGCTCTTCCTACAAAGCATTGAAATCAGACAAACTGCAGGTTGGATAGAGTCTGATCATAATGCATGATGATATCTTTCTGTTAGTGTCTAGCTGTGGTTAATGATAAACTGGCCGAAAGTTTGAGTGTATTTTACAGCTCTGGTCTTATCAGCGCAGGGTATTGATGAGAGGCGCGTGTATTTACACATACAGGCCTTCTCCATACACATGAAGCTGTGCTTCCTGATCTCACAGATTATTCACCTGACAGCCATTTTCAGAGCCGTTAGCGTTTGTTTATATAACACAGAGACATTCAGCTTGATCTTAAATAAGAATAAATAATCCTTGCAATTGCTGTTAGAGGCCAGATAATTGTATTTTTGTCAAAAAATAAAACAAAAAATTAATACATAAAAAGATGCTGTATCTAAAAAGGCCATTTTGTGTCTAAAATGAGTTATTTCCCAATTAGAAATTAGTGTTGTATATAGCCGTTCATAACCCTGAACATTAGACCACACTCACATTCCTTCATCTCACTCTTTATCGAATCTAATATTATCATTAACCATCCATTAAACAACCAGGATTGCTCAAAAGTCAACACATCGCCAACGGCCATTAAAAGAATCACTATAAAGTATCAAAAATGAAACATTTAAAGTGAAATCAATTATTTCCAAACAACATAATTTTAACATAACATCCTTTCAAATGTAAGTTCTCAGAAGACTGTAGATTTTTCGAATGCATTATCTAATCAATTTATTATTATTGTTATTATTATATTTTGTTGTATATCTTGAAGCTGTGGTTGCCAGAACATTTTAAAGTGATGATGTTTCATGCATTGCTGAAAGTGATGAAAGGTATTGCGGTGACTGTATAATTTGTGATATGTTAATAAACCAACAGAATTAAGATAAAATCATTTCCCTAATATTTTGAAATATAATAACCACCATAATGATGCAATGATGCCACGTGATGACTACTGTAAGTTCAAAAAGGCTTTTCCAGCAATCATGAAAAGTACTATGATGAACATAGTGTTACATCTGAATTATGTTAAAAATAATGAAATAATGCTATATACATGAAATAACATAAAATAGCATAAAACACATAGCTAACAACAAAAATTATGTAGATACAAAAAAACAAATCTGATGGGTCATGCCAGGCAATAAATAATACCAGGTCAATAATGACCAGGCAATAAATAATATTTACTTACATGTAAACATAAAACACATTATTACAAAAACTTTCCATGAAATCACATGTATCGTCTTCATAAATATAATTTCATGGCAAAGTAACTTAGGTTTAACCAAATAGCGGGTTTTTACCGTAGCAGTTTTTAACATTATGTTCCTGTTCATCTTTGTTTTATAGCTCTAACATCTCTAACTGTAATAATCTATCGGTGTGACTCGTGTGCCACATTGACAAGGAAAGTTCAATGACCATAACTAATGTTGGTCTAGTGACCAGTTTCCCCTCAACATGAGGAAAACACTCGACCCTTCACCATCTATATTCAAGAGTCAACAAGAAAGATCACACACCCTTAAACACGCTCCTTAAAACTCTGACCGTCGCCTTATGACTTCGCTTTTGACAAATTCTCAAATACACTCCTCTCTACGTTTATACTGATACAGGTGTTATGTGCTATTTGTCACATACTTAACTTATAATGTTCAGTAATTTCAGTATTTTTTTTTTTACCAAGTACTTTATCACAGGTGCAAGTGCCTCTAGCTAATGTTAATAAGTAACTCACTTTGAGAGTGAAAAAGCTGGAAAACTTTAGAAGACTACCATTCCCCCTTTTAAGCTCACTAAACATGTATTAAATAAGAAGAGTGCACCAGCTGAAGGTGTCATACCGGAGTCACACGTCTGCCATCCAGAATCCCTAGAGAATCAGCAGTTTCAGACTAAACCACCACCCCATAAACATGCGTGGAAAAGGACATGCAGAACGTCACTACAGTTCCCATAATGCAACTGCAAGCGAGGCCCCTTACTTAAGAGTACAGGTGAAAGTTAAGGGTGTAACCTGACGTCAGGAAGAGGTTTCCAGGGCTGGGTGGAGCCAGCGGCTGCAGTTGTGGCCTAAGAAGGGGGTTCGTGATTGGACGACTGCGTAAGCTTGAAGGAAACAGAGGGATTTTACAGTATAGCACGTCTAGGGACAGACGGAAAGCAAACAGTAGATGATCTTTGGACTCTGCTGGGCTGGAAGAGAGAAGCTGGTAAAACAGTTGGATGAGGGAATGACGTAGTCGCTGGAAACTGGTTGAAATTTGGTATAACGTAAAATCCTTCCAATCTAAACCTCATTTAAATAGTTTAAACTCTTAAAAATAAAGTTTCCAAAAGAGACTTGGCTTCAAAACGATGTCATAGAACTATTGTGGGTTATCCAAAGAATCTTTTAGTAAAGTCTTTTTTTTACTTAGTGTGAAGAACATTTTAAAAATCTAAAGAAACTTTTTCCACTCTAAAGAAATTTTGTGGATTGGAAAGGTTCCCTGGATGTTAAAGGCTTAATTTTTAAGAGTACGGCTCAAATCTGGACAGATATACCCAGAGGAAAATAATTGTATTGCTCATTCAAAGCTCAGTAGAAATTTCTCCTATGCAATCTAATTGCTATGTAGGACAAACGATTGAGATATTACACAGATCTCTATACAGGCTATCAAAACACTACACAGATCATGCTTACGGTGTACTATGTCACACATCAGCTGCAGGAAAGGGCTGTTTTATTATCTCTTATTGATACAAACAACAAACAAAAGGGTAGAGAATCGGGAAATGTTGCATGCCAGATTAAAACTCAAATTTCCCACATGAGAACCTTAGCACAGTGTGTCAAAGCATGTGTGCAAACCACTAGGCCACGACGTTATCCTGTGTAGTGTGACACTGAAAGGAATAGTTCACCCAGAAATAAAAACAGTGTCATTTACCCCAATTACGTTTTTAACCTGTATGGTCTGTGCATCACAAAAGAAGATAGTTAAGCAGGATGTTCATGCTGCTCTTTCTTTTCCATGTAATGCAGGTAAATAGGGGCAGATGCTAAAATAAGGACAAAAAGCACTATAAAAGCTCATAAAAGTAGTTCATATTGGTTGTGCGCTATATGTAATGTCTTCTCAAGTCATACAGTAGGTCTGTGTGAAAAAAATATATATATTTTTTTTTTTCCAATGAATTTTGCTGTACTATTGATTGTGCTTCCACATACTGAAATCAAATTTGAGAGCGAAAGTATATTTGTGATATAGTGTTTCAGTCAATAATGATTCAAATAAACTCTTCACACAATTTTTTTTCCTTCATAAAATAACAATCAAACCAGCTTAAAACATTAGTTTAAGAGACTTTATGTATAAATTCATTTGTTGGAGTGTGCACACAAACATTTTAATAATACATTTTTCCTTGTCAGTGATTGTGTACAATACCAATATAACTTCAAAAATGTGAGTAAACTCAGTAAAACTGAGTAAAGTCCATACATGCCAGTATTGTTACAAGAGTTAAAAAAAAAAAGTGAGAACTTTCACAAGTTGGCACGAGGAATGTGTATATTACAAAGAGTGACAATTCCCTCCTAAAATACAGTCCAAACACTGCTGGCCTAATTAACGGTAACAGTTTATAAAGTGACAGAGTTAGAAGTGAGAAATGTACAGAAATAAATAACAGGTTCAACAGTCACGATAACTGGCAACACTACATACATACATTTTACATATTGGCAGCGTTTTGTGAAAAATACAATATTTTTACATTGAAATTTGAATTAACAAGGTGAGGCTTTTGCACAGGCAACAAATGATGGGAAAAATGGTAGTGTTACTGTCTTTTTCCTCTTTGTTTTTGCAGTTGTTTCTGGAAAAACAAAGCACAACACAGTATAAAATTCCTCAAAAAGAACAATTAAAGAAAATAAATCAGCCATTTAAAACGAAGAAATGGAGTAACAACAAGACTTCTCAGAAAAAAAGAATAATTTTTACTTAAAAGGAAAAAAGAAAAAGTTAAAATCATTTAAACAGAAAATATCAGAGCAAATAATATAAGGCCGCTTTGAAATGAAAAAAAACATCTACTCTTTAATTGATCAGTTATCATATTTGAGCTTGATCTGTTATTTGTTAACGTTCATATTTTCTCTCCCCAGCTGATGCTGATTTTTCAGAGCTTTTCACTACATAATGTATTGAAAAATATAACATGACACCCCATTAAAGCATTCAAACATTTTAGCTTCAGTACTGTCAGATGATGCTGCATTGTCTTTTGGTGTGGGTGATGAAGCAGGTGTAAATGTGAACGAGATTATTGCTGCCACCTACTGGTCACAGATGATTGCTGAAGTACCGTTGGCTTTTGAAATGAATGGTCACTTTTTTCTGATTCATTCATGCAACAAATCACTCCACAACACTGAGTGAATGAGACCTGGCCCCCAGGACACAAACACTGTCTCAGGAGTCACAACATTCATAACAATCATAATCATTACATTTCAATTTGACACATTCACAGCATCAAAAAATAAGGCAATAAACACATGGCAAAAGGGGTGTTTACAGAGAAAAAGTGCACGAACTGATGTGGAATCTGTGTATTCTACAACAGACGCTTCCAAAATAATGACCCAGCACACTCACAGTGCCATCTACTGGTCGGAGGTCAAATAACCAAGTCAGGGATTGACACCATTTTTTTTTTTCTTGCAAACATGTTTGTAAGGGATAGACATGTCTGGTCTTACTTTTTGCAATGATTATTCAATTTAATATGAGGCAATTCATAAAAAAAAATCTCAGGGTCAAAGTTATTCTATGTCAGGTCAAAGTGCATGTCTATCCTTCACAGTCTTGTTTCATTCATGTCAAATAAAACATGGTGTCTACCTTAACTAGTCCTTTGCTAGTTTGTTAGTGGCTGAATGTGTGAGTGTTTTTTATATCAATACATGGAAAAAATATTGTGTTCAATCTGTTTATGTGGATGACTCCCCCTCATCCACTGCTAAACTAACAGTGCTCTTTATAAAACTTGTCACATGGCCTCTCTTGTGCTGCTGAAAGCCCATCTCTCGTAGGTGTCAGTGGGCAGCAAAAACATTGATGTGGACACAAAAAGGTGACAGTGCTGATGTCCCTCCAACACTTAAGAGTCTCAGATTGTCTTCTGCTGTGAAGGAACGTCCTCACCTCCCCTCCTCGGCCGATCGGGTCTCAGACTTCAGTTTCACAAACTCTTTGGCCACCTCGTCACCCGAGCGCTGGGAGAGGATGCGCATGACGGTGAGGCCCGTGTCATCAATGTGTATCCGTGGGCCCAGTGGACACCAGCAGGCGCAGCTGGCCCTCGGCGCAACATCACACAACTGTATGACGGCGATACCGACCACACGGTCTGTGCGGCCGAAGCAGTAGTCCTTCACACACACCTGAAGCTCATAACACTCCGGCCCATCCTCGTTCCCAAGAATACTGCGCGCACACACACACACACACACACACACAAACACAGAAAGAGAGGTGGTTTAAGTACTATTCGTTAGTAGTAATTTTCTCATTGCTCTTTAAACTTCTTGAATGCAGAGATGCAGTAATAATGCATATTCAAATTCTGACTCATACAGACCATATATCATCTATCTACCCATCTATCAATCCATCCATCCATCCACCCATCCATTTACCTACCTATTTATATATCTGACCATCTATCCACCCATCCATCTACCTACCTATCTATATATCTGACCATCTATCCATCCATCTTCCTATCTATCCATCTATCTACCATCCATCCACCTATCATCTATCCATCCATCTGTTTACCATCCATATACAGTACCTATCCATCCATCATCCATTTATATATCAATCCACCCACCTATCTACCATCTATCAAGCCATCCGCCTACCTTTACATCTATTCACCCACATATCTACCGTCCATCCACCTACCCATCCATCCATCCATCCTTTTTTAGCCTTCAAATGTTTTATTCGTATTGATGCTTTAGCAATATTATGTGTACAATGATCATGTTCTCCCTTTCAAAAATTGTGAAACAGAGAGAGCCGTCTGCTTTGTAGTCTTTCTTGATCCCTCACACATCATTGTTTAATCTACTGTTATTCATTAATCTGATTAGTCGTGAATGACTAGGTTTTGCACTCACAAATGGAAGGTCTCATTGAATTTGGGCGCCCAGCTGTTGTTCTTCGATTTGGTAGTGAACTTGCGCTTCTTGTCGCTGAGATGAGGGCCGATCATGGTGACCTCCACAAACGGTCGGAACATCCCAGATGTCTGCCACTTCAGATCATTAGCAGCCACAACTAGAAACAAAGAAATGTGATTCAGCCATCAGACAACACAGATAAAGCTCGCTTAAACATGATAAAAAATGCAATTAGGCTTACCTTTAACTGTAACTTTATGCTCTCCTGTGCCTGGGTGAGTGAAGAGATCGATCTGTATGGATACTTCCCCTACTGGTTTATCAACCCCTGAGCCTACACACACACAGATCGATACTTCCCCTACTGGTTTATCAACCCCTGAGCACGCGCGCACGCACGCACGCACGCACGCACGCACGCACGCACGCACGCACGCACGCACGCACGCACGCACGCACGCACGCACGCACGCACGCACGCACGCACGCACGCACGCACGCACGCACGCACGCACGCACGCACGCACGCACGCACGCACGCACACACACGTTTGTTTTTGTGAAAAGTGGGGACATCCCATAGGTGTAATGGTTTTTATACTGTACAGACCGTATATTCTATTGCCCTACACCAACCCTACCCCTAAACCTACCCCTTACAGGAAACTTTGTGCTATTTCAGATTTTCAATACACTCCATTCTGTGTGATTTATAAGCGTTTTGAAAAGTGGGGACATGGGGTAATGTCCTGAAAAGTCACCTTCTCCTTGTAATACCTATGTCATACCTGTGTCATTATACAAATTTATGTCCTCATTTGTCACAAAAACGCGCACACACACACTTACATATTTATCTAAATGGTGACATTCCATAGACTACTGTTGTTTTTATACTGAGCTAGTTATAAATACTATAACCTAACCTTAACCCTCACACAGAAAATGTGCTGCATTTTTACAATAATAAAAAAAAAAAAAATCTTTTTATCTTGTTTTTACAAATAGTTACGTCCTTTAATGTCCCCTAAAGGAGGACAGGTTAAGCTCACTTTTGAGTACAAATCGGTCTCTAAAATATGGTACACATATTTACACGTAGTACACACACACACAGGCCTCACATGCATGGAGTAACTTTTAAGAAAAAATTAAGCATTAGAAAAAATGGAGCAGAAAGATGTACCAGCTAGTCCTGTGTCCATATTTACAGAAAAAGGAAGTGATAACAATGACAATATACACGGCCTAATTTACAGTGGGAGCCAACTGGGTGAAAAAATGTGACCCCGTGAAGTAAAACATTTGATTTTTGTGGCTTTTAATCCATGTTAGCACTGAGGTCATCTATAGAACACTGCAAATATTAATTTACAACTTGTATTTTCGAAGAAAACCGACATATTGAGGAGTCATTATGCACTTAGGGGCGTGTCCAAATTTTCATCCAATCAAATGCTCTCTAGAATGAAAATAATACCACTAAAACAAACCTGCCTCTGATTAACAACAGCAAGTAACAAACCAGGGCTCACTGTCATTTCAGACTACTGACTATTTAAAAAATATTGTGTCCCAAAATCCTGTAAATGCATCAATACAGGGGAAAAAATAATTAAGCCATTTCATGGGGTCTTAGGCTTGGTTTTCTTAAAATACCATTTCTTTATTTTAAGTTTGGATAAAAATATGGCGTGGAGATTGTGAGATTCATCACACTAGAGCACAAATAAACCCAAAACACAATTCAGAACGCATCTGGAGAAGTGGACTGTGATTATTTGTGAGAGGGTTTTTGGGTCTCATGGAGTCTGTGGTGACCTACCCCTGGACGGCTGTATTTTCTCACTAGGTGTTATCCTCATACCCTTCCCATTATGCACTTAAGGCAGAGACAGAAGCAGAATAGCATTGGAAGAGATAAAGTTCAAAATCAACACATTAAAAACAAGACCGAACAATAACAACAACAGCAGAGAAACATGGACAGTAGACACATTAAGCAGTAAGAGGCAGATAAAGCTTGAAGAAGAGATAACATTTCAGTACAATAACTACACAAATAAATCCACAGCTCAATACTGACACCTAGTGTATTGTTTTACAAACTCATCTCTAGAAGATCAAACAATATGAACTAAAGAAATTAGAATAGGAAATGCGAAATTATATGGAAGAAAAAGTATTTGTTTCACAAAAGAAAGAAAGTCATACAGGTTTAGAACAACATAAGTAATAAATAATGATTAAATTGTCATACTATTCCTTAATATTGATGTTATCAAGTCTGTCATATGTATAAAATAGTGTGGATGTGTCACTAGATGTGTGTGTGTTCACCTTGAGCATGCTGAGTAGTTACAAACGTCTTGATGAGCGTGTCGGTGGTCTGGGTATAGAGGGACAGCGCGTGTCTCAGCGAGGACAGTTCAGGACTCTTCTCCAGGAAGGCCTTCTTCAAACCATTTCCTCCAGCGTGGAAGTATTGCTGCAGAGGATAGCGATTAATCAAATATTAATTCTGTACAAACCACTGCTTTTCAAACAACATGGAAATCTATTGGTGCTTTGAAAGAAAATATCATTTATACCTTTATGGTTTCGAGGGCCACGTCCATGACTGCACACTGCTTGGGAGTCAAGCTTTTAGCTTCACCAGACATGTGATCCTGCAGAGCCAAATAACATTAAAAACCCATAAAATCAACAAAATTACCTCTAACACAAATCAAAATCAATGGGTCTGGACACTGAACAGATGTCATTGACTTGTAAATATAAGCGATGATGTGTTAATGTTTTTGGATTTCTGACACTAGTAACCCATGGAAACTTGTTTCCACTTCAGAGTAAAAAAAAACAAACTGGGTAACCTAAAGAGATTGTTTAAATAAGAATTAATAAATGAGGCTGCATGTGATGAAAACTCACGTTATTGCATCTAAAATCACAATTTCAAGAAGAAAGTCACAATTAAAAGGAAAAAAAGTCACAATTATGAAAAATAAAGTTTTTTCCTTTTAACAGTGGAATGGTGTGCAGTGCAGCAATATCAGATTTACAGAAAAGGTTTGATGGGATATTCTGTTTACACACTCAAGCACACAATATTAAGCATGTGTTGAGGTTACAGAAACATGTCGAAAGCATTTATATTGAGGCTCTTCGTCTGTACTCTCTTGCTGAGCTCTGAGCTGGTTTAAAGAGATCATAGTCTGGATTAAACAAGCCTGGAGTGCTACCTTGAGTTTGGAGAGCTGACCCAGTTCTTTAGCCGCTGAAAAGATCATTCCCTGCCAGGAAGAGATAAAAGCATTACAGCGTTACAAAACAAAGATTTTACATGTTTTCACATAAACATTAGATGATTAATTACAACACATGTTCAAATACTTGATGTATTTCTTACAGGAAACATTCAAAAGGTTCCAGGCAAAAAATTTACTGGCTTTTAAAATGAAGCCTTTAGGGGCCAAATAACATTTTTTTAGAAACCAAATAATACAATGTAAAAGCATTAAGCCGTTTTATCTGAAAAAAAATGACAATGTATTTAGGATCTAGTCATACAGGTCTTACAAAGGTGTCATTGCCCTGAGGAAGGATGATGGTCTTCTCGAGACTGTTCATCACAATCCTCCACAGCTCCTTCAGCACTCTCTTCAGCACGGTTTTCTCACACACTGAGGCAAACAGCATCAGACTGCTCGCAAACACACACACACACACACACACACATACACACACAGAGATCAGGACAGGCTTCAGGTACAGTAATAATGGTTTCTGTACAGGTGAGGAGAGTTTTGCTCACTTTGCATCCAGGAAGTCCATCAGTGGCCGCAGCATGTTATCAGAGTCGGCCTCCACCTGGTTACGGGTGTTGGCGTTCACTGGACCCTTGATCTGGTACAGCAGACTGGCCATCTGACGCATGCAGTCATCAATGCGGCTCTGGAAACTACAGAGGAACATCAGAGTTCAGCATGAAGAAGGAACATGCTAGACTGACGTAAAAGGGGTTGTGCAAAAGTGTGAAATGAATGTCATTTTTTCCTTTTAGATTAATATAAGAGATTTTAATCTTTACTCAACAGAGAAATCTTGAGATATGATGCAGACCAGACTAAAAACTACATTCATTTCAAGAGCACCAAAGCTACAGTATATAATGATGACCCACTGTACATATGTTTAACTGAGTGCTGTTATTTGCAAAACTGGAAGTGTTTAAAATCATGAGTGGGCAAGTCTAATGAAACCTGTCAAGAAATTATCATTTGTATGAAGAAAATAAAGCCTATTTGTCTAAGTGAGATTTCTACATAGTGTTTGTTTTCATTTCAACTAAGCATCCTCTCTGATTCTCATATCTATAATGTAAAAATTAATAATAATAATAATAATATTAAATTGATTATATTATACTTATTCATTTCTTTAGTATTTATATCAGTATGTTTTTTTTCTTTACACAATAAAAATACTTTTTTTACAGTAATGAGAATCATCACCGGGAATAATGCAAATAGCAATGCAAACGCAAATAATATTTTCATTAATGCAGATGTTCCCAATTATCATTAATATAATGCAAAAAAAAAAAATGGTGTGAAGTATTTTCTGTAAACATCACAAATATTGAAATATTGTAAACTGTAAATATTGCCAGTATTTTTGTGTTGCCTTTGATTTATTCTGAATATATTAAATTAATATTAATTTAATATATTTAGTATAAATTAAAGACAGCACAAGAAATATTGACAATTACACACCACATTTTTTACTGCATTTTTAAAGCATAAATTTTGAAATGAATAATTATGCTGAATTTATGCTTTAAAATATATATATTTATATATAAAATATTGTGCTACAAAATTGAAAACTATGAATAATTAAAAAAAAAATAAAGTAAAAGTCTGGACACTTTGGAGAAAAGAGAAATAAGGGAAATGTGCTTGAAAGAAATATCAGAAAATAATGTAAAAATCTAAATGTTCCTAAATAAGAAGGTTTAATTTCCTTTATGCAAAATATAATTTCTTAATGTTTTGTTTTGGTTTTATAATCTGTATATTTTTCTGCGATTAACCCATATGCATATGATCTCTAAACACTGACGTGTTTCCAAAGGTGCTGCTCAGCTCGTCCAAGACGTTGTTCAGCTTGACCTGGAGATCGTTCAGGATGTCACTGGCCTCTGTGTCCAGCTGCAGAATGACAAACACGCACAAACAGCTCTGATTAGATCAGTGGCCCTCCACCATCTCATTATTTCAACAAAAATCACTTCACCCGGTGCACAAACACCATCTTCATAACACCAATGTGATGGTATAACAGTTCAGAGAGGGTGAAAAATGCCATGGTTTATGGTAATGGGGCAAAAGAGCCTGTAAAATTCACACATATATATAATAATACTGCTGCCGTCATGTTCGCATAATCATGAGTAATAAAAGTCAGGGTCAATTGCATACGACCGTCCTATTGGCCCAAAGTACAGAAGTACCAACCACAATCAACCAATCACAAAATGTTCAACATTTGGTCATGCTAATAAACAATCTCTCATTCTTTTGCTTGATTTCTGGACCAATAGGAAGGCTGATACAATATTTGAATGTTTTATATGCAACAAAAAAGTAAATTTATATTTAAATTCAGGGGGGAAAAAATCACTTTCTGACTCAAGGGACTCAATGCACACCTTGTCCTCTGAGATGTCCATCTATGGGCGGGGTTGAGGAAAAAAATCTATCAAAATCTGTCTTTGTGTGTCAACCACTCATATAGAGGTACAGTAAAACGGTTACTGTGATATACAGGGGGCAACACTAGGGTGATGGTTAAAAGAGTGAATATTAAAAAGAAAAGTTGATATTTCAAAAGACACTTTATATGAACAGGGTACAGAATAAACAGAAACAAAATAAAATAAAAAAAAACAATATTTTCTCACTAGATGAAAGTTTGACTATTTTGCATTGGTTATATATTGCATTGGTTAAATATTGGTTATGCATTGCAATTTGCAAGATTTAGGAAATGAATACAGTTTAAACAATAAATTCAGAAAATGTACACAAAAAAGTTTTTGAGTGAACTATTTCTTTATGTGATTATTTGTATTTAATTTATTTTTTTTATCAAAAATACAGTACAATAGTAATATTGTGGAATATTACAATTTAAATATATATATATATATATATAAAATGTTTAAATGTAATTTATTCCTGTGATGGTAATCATTACTCCAGTCTTCAGTTTCACATGATCCTTCAGAAATCATTATATTATGCTGAGTTGTTGCTCAGGAAACAGGTCTTATTATTATCAATGCTGTGCTGATTCATTTTTTTTTAGGCAACCATAACGCTATTTTTCTCAGGAATTTTGGATCCATAGAAAGTTCAAAAGAACAGCATTTATTTGATCTCCTTTGTAACATATTGATGTCTTTACTGACACTTTTGATTAATTGAATGCATCTTTGCTGAATAAAGGTATTAATTTCTTCAAAAAATTAAAATAAATAATAATTAAAAAATCTTAGTGACCCCAAACTTTTGAATGGTGGTGTACATTACATAAAAGCTACTATACAGTATAACCCTGACTATTATTTATTTGGCCTTTACTGATTTGAAATTTAGTCTGTACATTGAGGTTGCGGGTTGCAGATTTGTGGAGGGTATGAGTGAAGTTTTCTCCCGAATGTAATAAATTCCCCTATAAAATACAGACACAAGATGAAGGTCACAGTGAGCCAGTGTTCAAGGGGCTGAGGCACGGATGGGAGTTCACACACAGTTCAGACACGACTGGGACAGCGGCGTGCCTGTGGGCTGAAATGGGGCGCTTGGGCGATTGTTGGATTAAAAGGACAGTAACGGATGAAACACAACTATGAATCGAGCATGGATGAGCCCAATAACAAACCTCCTGTAACTCGTCCTCCTCATCCTCACTCTCTTCCAGCTGGGGACAGAAGCCAGATCATACAGTCAGACTGAAGCTAATGTGTGCCACCATACAAATACGAGCCTGATGTTACATACAGTACCGCCTTCCTAACCAGAGAGCTGTGGCCAGCAGATGTCACTGCTGTAGAGTAAACCTGAGTTACATTTGATCCGTTTTTTTTTTTTTAGATTGATATACATACATACTGAAACGTGGATGCAAATGGGACAAGCTCCTTTAGAACCACCTAATAAGTCCTATAGTCACTCTAAAGAAAGAAAGGAAAAAGTCACCACTGTTTTCTATTGCTCAATAAATGGGGAGATAAACAACAATAAACATAAATTAATTAATTAAAAATGCTTTACTAGTTTCCCAGTGTAAAAAAAACCCTGAAACATCATTTAAACCTGATAAATGTAGAAATATAATTACAGTATAAGTATAATTGCATAAGATATTAAGACACTTAATAAATGAGAAAATTAAATACAAGATTATTTTTCTTAATGTTACTTCCCAAGTACATGCTTTATGATGTTTCATTATTTTACTGGAAAAAAATTGTCGTCAAAAGATTATTATTATAATTTTTAATTTTATAATTAAATTAATGAATTAATACATTTAATTTTTTTTGTATTTTTCTACTTTTCTTGTTTTAAGCACAAATCTGACAAAGATGAGTGAGATATTTACATTTTTCTATTTTCCAATGGGGTAGAAATTTTTTTTTCATAATATCTTATGCAGTTTTACTTGTTTACTTGCAGTTTTTTAGTCTTGTTTTAAGGGTGTTTACATTTTTTTTTACTGAAAAACAAGAAAAAAATGTATTAAGACAAATTTTTTTTTTCAGTGCATATACAGAATTACTCCGTTTTTGAATATAAATGATAAAGAAAAAAGAGGGATTCATCCAACAAGTTTTAAAAGACAACATTAAGTCAACCAAAGCAACCTGAAACCAAGGCATGACTGGGATTTATGAGACCTGCTGTCCAACAAATCTAACAAAATAATAATACAAATATCAAGTAAAAGGGAAATAAACAAATCAGCAATGTGGAGAGTCTGATGTCATTGTCTCAGGCACAGAAACAAACTCAAGAATTCACTAATCAGACTGAGACTCAACTAATGCCACAACTCACACACACTCACCACAATCTCTCATGCTCCCCAACTGAATAGAACCAAACAAGTTCAACATCACCCAATCCAACAGGATTCATGACATCAGGGTTCTAATCAAGCAAAAATTCAATATACTGTACAACACAAGCAACTACCCTACTTTCAAAACTACTTTATTTAATTCTATGTAAATGGTTTCACTAGATTGGAGTTTGGGTGAGTGGCCAGAGCTGAGCTATTTAACACATCTAACCTACTTGTCATCTTTGACATTTTCATCGATAACCTGATTAATCACAGAAGAAAGTGTAATAACGTGTCTCTCTCAAAGCCTTTAGGAACACACACTTTATAGATATGGGTATTTTGGGACACAACATCTCTTGTGTACAAACCTCTTCCTCCTCCTCCTCCTCAGGGTCCACTATTACATCCAACTTTATTTAAAGGGGTCATAGGATGCTACATGCACTTTTACAAGTTGTTTGAACTGAAATGTGTGTTGGCAGTGTGTGTACACAGCCACCCTATAATGATAAAAATCCACCCAGTGTTTTTTTTTTAATCTGGTTAAATGTTTTCCCCTTTCTCAAATCGAGCCGATCTCAGATGCCTGTCTGTGTGACGTCACACAGACAGGCATCTGAGATCGGCTCGATTTGAGAAAGGGGAAAACATTTAACCAGATTAAAAAAAAAACACTGGGTGGATTTTTATCATTATAGGGTGGCTGTGTACACACACTGCCAACACACATTTCAGTTCAAACAACTTGTAAAAGTGCATGTAGCATCCTATGACCCCTTTAAAAAAAATAATGTTAATTATATTCTTTACATATTTCTAGAGTCTGCTATCAATTATCTATGAGAAAAATCAAACCTTCAGATTGATAGTCATTTGCAACGGCTCAAAAACGACTCTAATTTTCCTACCAACTAAAGAGATCTAAATTCTAGTCATACCCTGGCCTCCTCTGTGGCAATCTGAGGAGAAAAGACACAAATGTGGCTTTAACATCAGCCAAAACAGTAATGAACGCAATACAAGCTACGTATAATGAAATTATCAAAGTAAAAAATAACAGCTGTGAAACTAGCACAATCTGTTATTTATACCATTCCTAAATAAACCTGCAAGCCAAACGTTGACTGTATAAATGACAACACAACAACGCTGCATCAAGCCCATCTGGACACAACAGGGAAAGAGTTCTCTTAATATGCTGAGAGAGAATACAGGCCGGCACCTGATGTGCTCTGATGTCCCAGACAAATGAGAGGACAGGACAAATGACTTTGCTTAGAGAAGGTCACCTTCCCCTGCTGCTCTCCTACCTGTTTGGCACCCATAGATTCAAACATCTTCTCAAGCTGGACACGCAACTGCTGGACATTATTGATCAAGACGCATGGCTGAGGACAAAGAGAAAGACACGAGAGATTTATTAGAAAAGATGACAACTAACAGAAACATCAGTGTTAACTACCGGGAGAACAACTTACAATCTTCTCCTTATCACAATAGGACAGGAAGCTATTCTTCAAAATGGTACTGTACTGTAGCAGAACTTTGTCAATGGTCTGTGAAGACAAAGAAATAAGAACTCAGCTTAACGTTTTTCAAAAGTCGGTAGCATTACCAAACAAACAAATGAAAAAGCAGGCTAACATTTGAGGAAATCTAGCAGAAACTCTCTGGAGCTCATCTTAGCACTCAGCGCTTTGCGTTTGCTATCTTAAAACTGCTGGAGATCAGAACAACAAGCTCTCCATGTATCTGATAAAGGATCTAGAGGGAGCTTTGCATTTCTCTCAGAGAAGCTGGCCAGACTTGCTCTGGGGACTGACTGAAGCTTAATGGAAATGGCTGCATTAAGCATTTTCATTTGGTTACAACAGAATCTCATTCTTTCAGACAAATGTTTTTGCTCCAATTATATTCTTCATTTGCTCCGCACTGAGATACCCTTTGGCTAAAAAGGGGCCATTCTCACAGAAATCTCAGATAATTCTAGAAACAAGATAATACTCTGACAGCTGACATTTGTTCTGACATGAATCTATTTGTAATCGGATTAGGAGGGATGCTTGTCCACCTTGGCGAACCGGCGGCTGTAGAGGACCATGACTTTGGGGTCGGGACACTCCAGTTTCTTGATGATCTCAAAGCTCTGGTTGAGCTGAGTGAAGACATCCACCACTGAACAGGAGAAGAGAGCGTGCTCTGACGTCTGCTGGAACTGTAGTGGAGATAGAAGCACATCATTGAAATGCCATTTCCATTTCAGTTTTTTTTGTGTGCGTGTGTGTGTCAGGTTACCTTTATTTATATAGCATGATTATTGGACAATTTGCATGACTATCCGTCATTATATAGTTATGAGGGTGGTGCGTTTTTCTTAAATTAATAGTTCACCTAAAAATGAAAATGTGCTGAAAATTTACTCATGCTCAGGCCATCCAAGATGTGGATGAGTTTGTGTCTCCATGTGAGCAGATTTGGAGAAATGTAGCATTACATCACTTGTTCACCAATGGATCCTCTGCAGTGAATGGGTGCCGTCAGAATGAGAGTCCAAACAGCTGATTAAAGCATCACAGTAATTTTTTTTTCTTCCTCCTGCTTGTTTAGATATTTGTATGCTTAAATTATTGTGAGTATATGTTCATAGGTATGTAGACATATATTATGCTTGCTTTGTTTTTTTGTTGTTGTTTTTTTTTCACTTTCTTAATTCTGTAACAATTTGATACTTGTATTGTGCCTTGAGATGCTTGTGCTTTTCTTCATCATTTACTCACCATCATGTCGTTCCAAACCCATAAGACTCCTTCAAAACACAAATTAAGATTAAGATATTAAATTAAGATAAAAACAACAACTCCAGTCCATCAATAAATGACTTGTGAAGCAAAATGCTGCACGTTTGTAAGAAACAAATCCATCATTAAGGCATTTTAACTTAAATGGTCTCTTCTGGTCAAAATATGAACCCATAATCCATAATAACACTTCCTCCAGTGAAAAAGTAAATCCCCTGTTGTCCTCCCACATCAAAATCCACCAACATAATTTTTTCAGAACTGTTTGGACTGTTTTCACTTGTAAACAGTGCTTGATCTGTGCATATTTCTCCCCTGATTCAGACAAGACAACATTTTCACTGGAAAAAGGCAATATTATGAATAAAGCACATGTATTTTAGCCAGAAGTAACCGTTTGAAGTTAAAAACGTCTTGATGATGGATTTATTTATTACAAACATGTAGCTTTTCTCTTCACAAGTTGTTAACTGATGGACTGGAGTGGTGTGTTTTATTGTGATGTTTTAATCAGATGTTTGGACTCCCATTCTGACGGCACCCATTCACTGCAGAGGATCCACTGGTGAACAAGTGATGTAATGCTAAATTTCTCCAAATCTGTTCAAATTACGAAATATATTATTTTCCACATTGGATGGACTGAGGGTGAGTAAATTGTCTGCAAAATTTCATTTTTTTTTTTTTTGGTGAACTATTCCTTTAACAAGCACGAAGAAATACATTTTTGTACAATTAATATAATTGCTCTTGAAAAACTTGCAGATGGCAAAAATTTTAAACTGTTAAACAGTTTTGAAAGGCAAAATGACCCGTTTGTGGGCACAAGAGCATCATAAAGGCCAAGAAACACTTCAGTGATGAGAATGTGTGAAAGATAGCTGGCTATTCGAATGGAATTGCACTGAAAGACATCTTACTCCATCTTTTTTATCTCTCTCCAGGGGTCCATGCATGAACTCCATGGACACATCCTCGTTCTCATCCAGCCACTGCAGCACAAACTGTTGGAACCACCTGGAAAAGGCAAGACATGTGAACAAATATCAAAAGTGCTTTTACTTTGTGTTTGCTAGTTGAGATGATGAAGAGCTCACTCACGTAGGGTATTCGGGCACAACTCCCTTGAAGGTTGGCAGATCCTTCACGTATTCGTTATACAGCCATTTGACCTTGAAGTGCAGGTTCATGTAGTCTGCACTTTTACACAGCCGGTGTTTTTCATGTTCTGTCGAACAAGAATATTTGAATATGAACAACATTTGGTGGCTAAACAAAAAGGTCATGTCGTCTCCAATATACTAAATCAATGGACCAAACTGTTACTGACCTTCCATGGCGTACTTCATATCCTGAGAGAACTGATTCCACATGACCTCTGCACTCAATTTCCCAACGTTCAGTTCCTGAGGAAACCTGTGGAGAAACAGGAACAAACAGACACATGATGGCAGGAAAATAAGAGATGGATAGGGTAAGTATTTCAGGTTTGTGTGCACACTCACTGGTTTAAGACAGGGGTATAGGAGTTCCGGTCCTCCTCAATGATGGACACTATAAGGGTAATGAGTTTGGGCCAGAAGTCTAAGTTTTTGATGCTCGGGCCCTGATCTTCTGGGGTGCACTCGTCCTTATGCTGACAAAAAAACAAACCAACAAACAAACAAAAAAATTAAATAAAAAAATCTGTATCATTTGCTTGATTCATAGTAAATGAATTAATTATAATTAATCATTTAATTATTATTATATAATTCAATTCAAATAATCATTTAAGTTTTTTTATCATTAAGTTAGAATTTATCATTTAACACAGACATTTTAAATTATTAAAAATATACATTTTACACTGTGAAAACTGTTATTATTGTTAACTAAAACTATTAAAAAAAACTTAAACATACAACAAAACATAAAATTTGCTTTTGTTATTTGAAATAAGGCTGAAATAAAACAATAAAAATATTAGATAAAATCTTAAACTTAAAAAAAAAAAAGAAAAGAAAAGAAAATGAGAAATGTTGCATTGGCAACTATCTGAAATAAATACTAATACCAACACAAAAAAAAAGCGGGGAAAAAAAGGCTAAAAAAAAAGAAATCAAGGACATGAGAAAATTACTAAAATTAAAAGGAAAACTAAAAATATGTAAAAGCAAACTCAAAATATTAATAAATGCTATAACAGTATTACAATAGTAATAATCAATAGTAATAAATAGTTTGTAATAATAAATATAATTATAATAGTATAAGTAGTCATTCGCTGTTGATCTCCCATGAAAAGTGTAAACAAAGGGAAAAAAAAACTTTTTTTTTTTTACTTGAGTGGCGTGTTTTAAGAACGCGGTGTCATTCGCGAGATGCTACAAAAGATGCTGAGATGCAAGCACAACAGTCAAACACGTCTGTCTAGGGCAGGGGTGCCCAAACTCGGTCCTGGAGGGCCGGTGTCCTGAAGAGTTTAGCTCCAACCCCAATTAAACACACCTGAAGCAGCTAATCAAGCTCTTATAGGCATACTAGAAACTTAAAGGCAGGTGTGTTGAGGCAAGTTGGAGCTAAACTCTGCAGGCCACCGGCCCTCCAGGTCCGAGTTTGGGCACCCCTGGGCTAGGGCCTTCAAACTGCTATTAGATTTCAACAGGCTGTGTTTCCTTTTTTCCCATCAAAATCGACTACAGTTTTACAGAATTACAATATCTGGTTGTAGGCCATCATCCGACATCAAGGATTCTTTTATATACAAATTTCTCTTCCGA